CCTAAAGTAATTAATGAGTCAAATTGATGACTCATAGTTAGTATCTAAATAATATATATAATCTGTTCTATACAAGGTTTGTTTAGCAGATCTTAAAAGACAATTCTCTTTTATTGGTGGTATCTAATCATTGTAAGTATTATATTTTGGTAATCACCAAAGCTTATTGAGTATTTTTTGTATTTGATTGTTTTTATAGAGTAAGATTTTTACTTGGTCCGAGAAGAAATCAATCTCAACACCATTGTCTACAAAATATTTAAGAAGATTCAATTTGGAAATAAGATACGTGTTGTGCATAAATGGAAGGACTTGGATTTTTGTAGTTCAAATTAGGCATGCAAGCATGTATGCTATTTGATTATTATAGTACATTTTTTTGTATCATTCTCTAATGAAAATATTTTTCTAGCTATGCTATTGTTTCATCATAATAAATATTATTTTTGAAGATGAAGTAATTTTTAGTAGCTCCAATTGGTAAAATTGATCTCACACAAAACATGGAACATGAAGATAAGAGATCTTTCTATAAGTTGAGTTGGATGGAATTAGTCGGCAATTTATAGTTGATTACTGGATTCATATTTGATATTGGTTGAGTGCTAGTATGAGTGTTGAGTAGAATCTTATGAGTTTTTAGATATGTAGCCAAATTAGATTTATTTTAGAATATATTGTGATAAATTTTAGAGTAATATTTTAAAATTTTTAAAATATAAATCTTAAAAATAATAAATAAAATAAAATATTGAATGAATATAGTTTTAAATTTCGAACTTTTATTCTTATTGATATTTTTCTAACTATTTTATTGCATAGCTCCCATAAACATTATGTATTCTACATTTTCTTTAGCCTCTCTCTACTTTTATGTATCTTGCAATACTAATAGGTAAAAAAAATGCTCTTACTATTGTTATCCATTATATAGATCTATATATATAATTAAGTGGTTGAAAAATATGGAAGTGATTAGATGGAAAATTGAGTCTGTATGACATGCAAATAGAGAGGTGGGGGTGCAATTAGAGACATAGTAATGTGATATAGTGTGTAGAAGGATCGAGGAGATGTATGATGCATGTTTGATGTATTGGCAATTTTGTTGTCATAGGAGCTTAGAGAATTCAAAGCATGGTACATATAAACAAGGTGTCTAGCAAGAATATTGTAGATAAAATTTGTACAAGTGAGAACTAATAAAGCATTGGCATTGACAATAAAGTGCGTGACAAAGCATGGTGTAGTAGACTAATAGTGTTTGAGATAGAAAAACTTGTAATAAGAGAGAGCAAAACTATTGGCAGGCCCAGACACTTGTAGCTAGGTTCCAAACCATATTGTTCGAAGGATTGTAGCATCAAAGTGCAAAAAAATTGGTATTTAGGAAAAAAATGAATGTATGGCATTGTAATTGTTGAGTCTGTAAATGCAAGATCGCAATAAAGTAGCAAGAGTAGGAGCATCAAATAGAATAAGTGCATTGTGCTTAGGCAATAGACAAGGAGATTTAGAAAGTTGGTTCAATTTGTAAGTAAGACAATTATTGATATACTTGCTAACATTTGATGAGTTCCAAAATATGTTGTTTGAGCCAAAAAAGAACTTTGGATCCATGAATATGGAAGAGTTTTTGAAGAACATTTGGATGGCAGAAGACAGTCACATGATGATGGCAGCAATGGGATCCGTAGACAATATATGACAAGATAGTGGAAGGATACTATCTTAACAATCAACCTTGTAGAGGCAAGAATTAATCATGTTATTGAGGCAAGGATTAGTCATACTATTACAAACGCTTAGTAAAAAGATGGTAGAAGAAGTATGGAAGAAAAACAATAGCACTAAGGCTAGTCAATGTGGCAGTAGCAATGAATCTTGGCAAAGATCAAGGAATACACAACATCTTGTCCACAAGAATCAAGGTACATTTCTATAAATATTATGTACAAATCTTATATACTAATAAATTTTGAATCCTAAATCTTAATTAAGGTTCTCAAATTCCAAATCATAATTAGAATTTTTAAATTCTAAAACTTGATTAAGGTTTTCAAATCCTAAATTCCAAAAATTTAACTACATAATTTTAAAAAACTAAAGCATTTATATAGGTTTTTTATGGACATATATGCCATAGTAAAGTCTCAAGTTGGACAAAAATACAATAAAACTCCGATAAATTAAGAATTAAAAACCTATATGATATTCTTGTAACTTTAAATCTAAAACCCTAAATCTTGACATACTCTTATGAGAGATTGTTTGGGATTCTTTTAGAAGTCTTTTCAACTCTATTCTCATTTAGAAATAGTAGGTCTAATTTTTATTATTATTTTTAGTAACTTTTTTTAGTTCTAAATATCTAGATAATATATTTTCTATCATTTATTTCTTTTTTCATTGCTTCATCAACATTACACCACTATCCTTATTTAATCTAATTTTAAACCACAATCGTTTCATCTACCATTATAGTTTTACTTTGCTTTTAATACCTATTTGAACCTTTTCTTTGATAATTTATCCTACTTTTTTCTATCTAAACTTTTCTCTTCTTAATTCCTTTGAATTATTCTAATATTTTTTCTAACTACATTGTGAGTTAAAAAATTTGGCTCATTCCATGATATTGCCTTTATGTGTATCTATGGATAATTAATAGGTTGAAAACTTTGCTAATAAGTTAGCAATATGTCACACATATTTGTCATTTGTGGTACAAATTCAACATGTGATTGATGTATAGAAAGCTTGTCTTGTAAATTAGATATATGCCTAGTAAATTGGACATGTATTAGAAGTCCTATAGAATGTTACGATGTAGCTCTTATTTACAAAGTATATACAAATGTAAAAGTGAGGTCTTCTTCAATCTTGTCAATTCTTTTTTTGCTTTTACTATAGTTTTAAGAATTTCTAATTTTCTTATCTTTTAACAATAGCCATTGAAGTTTTTTCTTTAGATATATATATATATATATATATATATTCATCTTTCTTTAAGAAACATCTCACTCATTATTTATATTCTTTAAGTTCTTGTTCTTGACAAGTTGTAGATTTCTACACTAAGATGGCATGTATTATATAATATATTAAAATTGTCAAAAGTAAAAGAACAATTATATTTTTTCTTGATAGTATTTATTGCAATAATGGATTGCTAAAATATACCACATCGGATATATAAACTTACTTTGTATCTGAATTTTAGATAATTCATTTTAAGATATTGAAGGTGGACATAAAACTATCTTTGGTCTTCTATCATCAAATTAATAGAAAAACAAAACAAATGAATAAAGTTTTAAAGTAATATTTTAGATGTACTATTAATTACCATTAAGATGATTGGACAATTCTTTTGTCATTAACAAAGTTTGCCTATAATAACATAGTACATTCTTTTACTGATCAATCACATTTTTATGCTAATTATGATTATTATCCATAATTTGATACTTTTGATTTGTTAAAAATTAATAACCTTGTAATGGAAGATTTGATAAATTATCAATTAAAACTACATGCAAAAATAAAGGCACAATTAAGTGAAGGTCAAGAACGATAAAAAATCAACTTAATTAGAAATGCAATAAAGAAGATGGATATTTTTATCAACATCCATCAAAACTAAAATGAAGAGTGAATAAATTCTTTGCTATAAAATAAGTCACATTTAATAAACATTACATTCTATCTTCTATCCTTGTTTGTACTTCAAGAATTTATTTTTCTTAGATGGATTTCTTATTAAATGGACGCAAATCACTTTTGTATAGTAAAGAAGGATATTGAAATAAGGCATGTTCTAAGTACAAAATTCAATGTCTATGGTATATATAATTGACAATGCAAAGCCTTATAACTCACTTATAAAGAAGTAAAATCCTTAAGTCAAGACAAATTTGAGAAGCTTGAAATAAAAGTAAAAATAGGCAATAGAAATACCATAAGAAGAAATAGTGTCATATTCTAATAAAAGAAGAAAATTAAAAGAAACTAGTGAAATTAGAAAAAATAAATAAATAAATAAGACTTCTACACTTTTTTTCAAAGATAAGGAACTAGCATAACAGTCCAATACTAGGGAAACTTGTACCAAGGAATGAAGAAATCTTGAGAATATTTTTAAGAAGTTCCAAGAAAAATACCTTAAAATATAGATATTAATTCTTCTAAAGTAAAGAAGAGTGTAAGGTCCAAAAATGAGACCTTATCCTACAAGTTAAGAGCTTGGCCTTCTTGATACCCAGGGAGAAGACACAACTATGAGCTATCAAAGTTGCAGTGAGGAACCTCGCTCCAAGTTGGCACACCTTGAAGTAGGGACTTCCCGTGCTTGGATGGCTCCACTCTTGGGTGTGCTGAAAAAGCACTCAAGAGTGCAGCCGGATGGAAATGTAACGTGATTCAATGAACGCAGGAAATTCTAGTGTTGCAGCAACTGGGCCGCAATTTCTCAGCGTTCTGGACTCTCATTTAGATTTGCATATGGTTAACATTTTTCTTACCAAGAAGCGAGAAAGAGCGTTGCAGTTGCGTTTCTTTCAGGGCTTTGAAATGTTTCCGCGTCTTCAACATCACTGATAACACTAATTTGGTGCATTTTGTGCAAGCGTCGTGAGTAAGAGAGAAAATCATCGCACAATCAAGAAACCGTTACACGAGAGAAGAAGTTAAATCTTTGTTACGAACTTGCATTGATTTCATAAATGATTCATTATCGAAAACAGAGGCTAAACCCTAATTATATACTTCGAAATAAAACCCGGCCAGAGCTGAAACCTAAATTATGCAACGCGCACAGGCTTCCAACATTTACCAAGCGCTCAGATCTATGTGCTTTTGGGGGCTTGTCAGAATTGATGCTCATGAATCTCTGAGAGTCCTTCGAGGACAAAAAAATAGAACAATGAACCCAGGGTAAGACCAAAACGCCGCTGCACAACGAAATCGACACGAGAAATAAAAAAATATTTTGGAACGCTGAAAACAAAAATGCAAAAAGACGCAATTGAAGCACATCTTGTACGGAGCAGTCCGACCGCCTGCACGGACTGAGTTGCAGAACTACCCAAATCCATGTCACTACCGGCACTTCCTCTTCCCCAACTACAGTAACTTAGGACTAAAGTCTACTCCCTCACTCATAAGCTCTGACCACGCCGGCCATCCCACCATTGGGGAACGAAAGTCCGTGAGTTATCCATCCGCTAAGAACCACAGGCTGGAATCTTTCACGAATAGTCAAATGGCCGCATAATACCCGTTTCTGTTTCAATATCAACCATTGACAACGCTGTTGACGACACTTTTGATCAGAGGTACACTCAAGCCTCTGTTAGCGCACCCCTCAATTTCCGAGAACTGGTTACATGCATAGGCTTCAATATTTGAGACGAGTGTACTATCCATCACACATGACCACGATTGTCCTAATTCTTAAAATATACCCAGAATGTGCACACACGGAGTGTACGGAGTTTAGGGTGCAGTCAGATTAACTCACTTCAAACTTGAGAAGAGATCGCGAGAGTCAACCTAGACGAGCTCTGAGGTCCTCTATCGCTAAACCCCAGCGCAGTTGCAACTGTTGCACTTTCAACCTCAAGGATCAAGTTTGGCGTATAACTGAGCGATCGCCACAACTGAACATAGCACTTGAGAGGTGCATGTGGGCGAGTGGAATGATGAGTGGCTTCTATGCCTACCTGCCCTGCTAGGTTTGCCTATCACCGAGGGATTTGCCTTGGATCTGTATCTTGGTCACTCTTTTGTTGATTCTTGTAGAGCTTTTCACTTCACATTGAGAGTTTATTCTTTAACCTTTTGAAGTCATGCATAGGACAGAATGGACATTTTGACATTTTCCACGACCTAAGTTAATCGTGGTTATTCTTGAAATTGCAGAATTGCAACATGATATTCCGTGTATTAGAAGTAAGTGCGAAGTTTCGGTGATTACGGAGCACCTGTTCAGGTATATGATTTTAACAGATCTATACTTTTTGTAGTATAGTCTGAAATACACGATATCGCTCGCTTGCATTTGAAAACCCTTTGAAATCTCACCCTCTCACCGACTAGAAGAAGCCTCTTTAGGTGTTTGTTTTTTTGGTAACGCACGCTTTGGTTTGCTTGGTTGTGGTGCAGTCCATCACATCATGATCTTTGATTGGAAGAAAATGTTGTTACTTCAAACGTTGAAAAACCTTTGTCCTAGCCTCAAGACATGTGGGATTAAGTGTAACAAAGTTAGCGTTGTTGTGTGAGAGGCATGTGTAATTTTCGATAGGTAGCACAGATGAAGTCTGACGGAAGCCAGGTTATTAGATGTTAGTATCCTGCTGAATTGTGATGAGGCCTAGTAGCTGAGAATAGCTGGTACATTTGGGGTCTCACTTTGGACCAAATCGACAGAGTGACGTTTTGTGTAACCTAACCCTCGTTAATCTAATACTATGCAAACATCCATTTAAAAATTGACTGGTATGTTTTTACGCAGCTGAGAATATTTTGTACCGCAACTCCGTATTTGGCATTGCTTTCAGAGTGTCAGGGTTAGTATTTAACATGAATTCACTTCTGGATCTTTTTTTCGTTTTTTTAAGTTTATGATAATTCAGTTCTAAGGAGCGAAGGGCCTTCTTATAACATTTCTTGCTTGTATTTCAAAAAATTCTAGGGTCTCATCCTCTTCCAACTGGAATAATTGGAGGCTCTTGCCTTGGAGTTTTCCAAGTGAGGTATCTCTAAATCCTTTATCAAATTCTTATTGTGCAGGCATGTCCCTTAGATTCAACTTCTGATAAGATTGTGTGAAAAAGAGTGTGTATTGAGAATTCTTGCCCTTTCTCTCTTGCTACCTCTGCTTTTGTGAATTATGCACTAGATCCTTTTTTTGTACAAGTCTAATCCTTTAATCTAAGTCATTGCTGAAATTTATGTAGATATTGTCCAAAACATTTTCTGTGAAGCTCTAAATGTTCTCTACAAGTATCACAATTGGACTCAGAATTCATATGCACCTCATAATATTGTTGAGTTTTATTTATGGCAGTTGTAGATCTGATCATGTCTCAATTTCTCGCTGTTACACAGTTTGGCTGACGTTGTTGAAGGTATAAGTTTCCTTCTACAACATTCCCTGCAGTGGTTATAAATTGATCTGCATCACTGATACAGAGCAACATCGTTAGAACGCAGAACATTCTCTTCTACATAGGTTCATGGATAATCCCACGGTCCTTTACAGCAAATCAAGGAAGACCGTGGTAAACGGTGTGGATATTTGTAGGGGTGTAAAATACACCGCTATATCGCATACATGGTCAATGTGGGACAGTATCAGCAAGGATATCCTAGGTATCCAACAAGGCCCCTATTGTTCAAGACTGAATTTCAATGACATGTTAGATTTTGTGAACACGGAATGGGTGTGGATAGATACCTTGTGCATTTCACATAGTAACAAAGTGACCGAGATACCTCGCATGAGGAGCTATTACAAGAATGCCGAAGTGGTGCTCGTAGTGCTTGATACTAACAAGGGAGACTACGATTTAAGAGTTCTAGAGGTAACCGACTTGGAGTACAGGATGGGAAGTAGGGAACGGATGCATATTCTATCCAGCAGTCCAGAGAGATTAATCGAAGAATATGCGCTATCTGAAGAAGGAATCACGGTATACAATACTTTGTGCAAGATGTTTAAAGCAAAGTGGTTCAAGAGAGGGTGGACGTTGCAGGAGGTGTTGTTAGGAAAAGACATCATTATATGGAATGGCAGCACCTCTGTTAGCGTGACAAACGTTAGGAAATGCCTAGATTGCTTGGGCAGTGTCCTTCCTGATGCACTAAACGGCCTAAAGATGGATGATGACTATAGTGCGATGCAGAATATATTCAATATTGACAGCACTAATATATCCTTTGAAATAGTGTACCAATTAATGGATGGACGAGAGTGCACAATCGAGGAGGACTACGTCTACTGTATCTTGGGGCTTCTGGAAATTGATATCAAAATAGAGTATGGCATCGATCTACATGTGTGCAAACGGAGGCTCTTTACAAGAATGGTTCAAGAACAAAAAGCTGCGAGTGTATTTACGCACACTGGTATCGGTGTATTCCCACTCTACAGTAAGTACGGCACATCTTTTCAGCTTGATAATCCAAGGTCTGATCGGGTGGTTTACAGTCTATCGCGCAATGGGGTGAAGTTTGTAGGCTGTAGCGTGTACATCTATGAGGTTCTAATGGTATTCCCTACAGAGTTCCTCAAAAAGGACCCAAGAAGGAACTTGTGGGCAATAACGAAGGTGATGGGTGATAATCTATCTGGATACAAAGAATTGGTAAAAGCTATGTATTCCACCACAGGAGCAGACGACGATGAATTCGTAAACACCAAATCGCAGTGGTTTTTAGAGATGGCCAAACTATCTGCCACGACGACCGAGGCAGATTCATTTGATGATGTACCACTAAATTTTGATTGCATCGTCTTGCACTCGTTGCTCAATGGAGCTGAAACCCCTCTGGTATCTTGTGGCATAGTGCACAATTACATCTCTGTGTGCGCCTACATATTTACGTGTCTGGAGATTGTCCCTATGGATGGCAGTTGCCTGTTGCTGGCTCCAGGTATCATTGGTGAAGTCCGTGAGACAGGGATATTGTGTTCAGGGATGAACCTCTATAAAAGGAAGCAACAGAAAATAGGTGCAACACTGAACCTTAGGAAGGATAATTTGGGCAATATTGAACCTATTGCAAAATTGTCAGACGTGATTGTTACCAACAAGAAGCTTAAAAGACGTCACTCTTGTGAAGCAAGCCAATTAGATCAACCAGACAATTTATCTGGGATAGGCTTAGATAATCCCCAAGATTAATCCTTGATCGTTCCCATGTGCAAGCTATGGACGATTTTCATATTGCTAATTTAGGGAGGAGATTGTATTGATTTCTCAATTGGTCCAAATTATTGTAGATTCTTTGAGAAATTACAACCAATTTGAGAAATTAAAACAAAGTGGGAGCAGCAAATGATACACCAAGGAATAGTGAATTTGAGTAGTTAGGATTGGAGAATTTGTAAAGCTTTTTTTTGGAGAGCAAGGTGGGCATTGCATTAGCCATGAACTTAATAGCAAAGTGAAGATGAAGGTTCCTAATCAATTGAAGTCAGTTTGGAGAAGGTTGATGTAATGGACACAAATTGTGGTTGTATAATTGTGGAAAGGACATTGAAATTGAAAACATTAGTTGTCTCATCAATGTGATATTGATTGTTGGTTTCCTCTTTTATGTTATTTCTTGGCCTATGGACATCCAAAATTTGTGTCATGTAGAAGAAGCAACAAAACACACCAAGGACCTTTGTTACATGGATGCCATTACAAATTCAATATTATTCAACTGTGTGATGTTATTTTGCAGTGTATCTCTTGGTAGAAAGGTCCTTTCAATATATATATATATATATATATATTTTCCTGTCTCTGTAAACATCTTTAGTTGCATGATCAAGTTTGAATCTAAATATTGTACCTTGGATGAAGGTTCAATTTCTTATTAGATTTTGACACTATCAAGTATAAGAGCAATTAGTAGCTACATTCTAACTACCAAAACTCTTTATTGATAACTTTGTGCATTTTCAATGACAATGTTTGACATGTTTGAAGCATATGACTAGAAAATTGGATGACATCTATATAGTGCACCCACTAATTAAATAAGTTATGCAAAATGGATACAAAAGTTTTACTCACAAATCACATTTAATCCTAAACATGTATCTTAGAATCTTGGTTGGATTTATTTATTCATAGTTTGTTTCTCAAAAGTGAATAATAAAACTCAAGGATTGTAGTGGTACTATAATTTTATACAATCACCTACCTCAAATAGGCAAGGCTTGCTTTGCTTTTCATGTCCCTTGTATGTTGCCTACCTTAGTGAACATTTAAATTTTTGCTTTGAACTAACTGTTTGAAACTCTTAGTGACCATTTAATTATCATTAATATATATAGATAGCTCATTGTGGAAACAAAAAAAATTCTTCTCCAAGATGCACCTTGAAGTCTTTTTTATCAACACATTAAAAAATTAATAATAACTCAAGAAAAAAATAAAAAAATAAAAAATAGAGAATTTCTTTGAGGTTTTAATATCCAAGTGACCATTTTATAGTTCTCCATTGGTCACTCTCAGAAGTTATAGATCACATTGGGCAAAATCAGCTGATGATGTACATACAGGATGATCCAGAAAAACTGAAGATCACAATCGAATCACAGAAGGAGGGATAGGCTATGATTTGGATCATCCACGAAGAATGTGCAATACACATTCATCCAAGTATATGGATGGATGAATAACTTTATATGTCTCGCATATTTCATTCGATTAGGGTACAACTCCCTCTCTTCGCTACGCTCTGTGCTTCACGATGCTCTCTGTTTACGAGGGAGTTTTCTACATTGGAGTTTATGTTACTAACTTATCAGCAAATTTTTGCAACTAGGTTTTTTTTGTGGGGTGCCACTAAATCAATATACTAGATTTTTTCGATAGAGTAACACTAAGATTTGCGAAGTTTTTGCTGAGTTGTTTTGTCTAATAGGATATCGCAGTGAAGTGCCTCGTGATATCTGGGTTCTGGAGAGCAGAAACTTTCATGTGCTTAGGTGAGGGATTTTCGGTTTAATTTTTATTTAGTATCCAATTTTCCACGGAGCGTGTTGTGCCTAAATTCTGTTGGTCCATTTTCTGTCAATTTTGAAGTTCAAAGCCTGTCAATTACAACATCATAGAATCAGTTATTGCAGTCGTCACCTTTGAGAACCAGTATTATGGATAAGGCACTGCGGTCAGGTCGAGCTAGGGTCCAGGGATATAATCTGTGGAGGGAACAGAGACGATCTGATGATTCAATGCAGGTTTGAGATTTCCATTTGTTGTCGAATATTTTACGTCGCAAATTGTGATTTGTAAGGGTTTTCCTCCAAGGCATGTAGGAAAGTTTTTTTTTGTGTACTCAATTCCTTCCGAGGGGCATAGGAACATGGCGCTTGTTATCATCTGCGGACAACCATGCAGTGGAAAATCAACTGCTGCAGCATGTCTTATGAAAGAATTTGAGAAGACTAATAACATGCCAGTAGTTCTAATTGACGAGCCTTCGCTCAATTTGGATCGTAATAGTGCATATCAAGGTTTGCCTTTCCCAATCTACTAATTCTTTAAATGCCGTTTACCCCATGAAATACGGAAGAATTTCTAACCTTGAACACGTCTTCTAGGGGTTTCTAGCTTTGAACATATTTTGTGCCTCAAGCCCTTCCCTTAATTTTTGAGAATGGTGCAGATATGCCTCGAGAGAAGAACCTGCGCGGGATGTTGCGGTCTGCAGTTGACCGAGCTGTGTCAATAGACACTATTGTCATTGTAGACTCCCTTAATAATATCAAGGTATTTTGTTATGTCGGCCTTATTGCATCTCCCCTTCGATATCTCCAGGATAATTATCGCATTTCAGCAACGATTTCAATGGGCAGTGATTTTTGCAGCAGGGGTATGTTCGTTCGTGTTTACCGGAACTCAGAAGGACTGGTCATTTCTAAAGAAAATAATGGCTGTAAAATGCTTGAATTTGTGCAAGGATACAGATATGAATTGTGGTGCTTGGCCCGCGCAGCTGGGACGCATTACTGCGTGGTATTCCTCATCTTATTTGTGCACATCTTGACGATATGTGTTCCGTAGATGGTCGATCCTACATACCAAATCCGTATAGATGCTCAGGCTCTGCATGCTATCTTTCCTAAGTACTTGTTGGCCAGTTGCATATGTTGCAGATGAAGCACAATGCCGCGCATGGAACGAAGATAGACGATTAAAAGCGTTGCCCGCTTACGAAGATAAAATGTGAGCTTTCGGTACAGTTCCTACTCTGATGGTTGTTTTATTAAGTCAATTCTACATGTTTCGTAGCGTGTTTCTTCTCCTGCCTTCAGCATGACAATCATACCACGGGATGCGTTTGATTTGTAGATTTAATGACATGGTTAGAAGATTCGAAAGACCCGATGGAAAAAACCGATGGAATTCTCGTCTTTTTGAACTTCATCCCGGCAAAGGTTGCTCCTTTAATTCGCCATTTCAGTCAGCATGTGTCTGACCTGTGCTCTTTCATCTTCCACCGGTTCTGTCTAGCTAGTGGACAAATTACATACGCTTGAAACAGATTGAAAGTTTTGGATGTATCTTATGTTCGAGAGACTTTTCAATTCAGCGGGCAGTATTAGTTAGAAATTCAGTAGTGTGATTTAACACGATAACGGACTGCAGGTTCTCCCCTGTTCCAAAGTTGGGTGACGCCTGTGATGATAATGTTCTCAATTGGCAGTTTGCATTGATTCACATCTGATTTTTCGTCTCTTTGTCAATATATTGCACATGAGAATAGAAGATATTCACGAAGACTCTCAAGCTATTGTTGAAACTGTCAGCTTTCTTACTGGTAATAAAAATGTTGGGGGTAGTCGGAACCCTCAAAAGCTGCAACCCACTGTTGCCACACAGAATGTAAGTTACCTTGAACCCGAAACTCTTAACCTTGAATTTTAAACCTCGTTTGTCTTTCTAGTTTGGCATTTTTTTCCAATTTTATTTTCATTTTTGATTTGTATTCAATTTCAATTTTGCAGCCACGAACCTCGGAGACTAATTCGCTTTATGAACTAGATCGGGCTACACAGGTTTGAATGTTTGCTCTTTCACTTCACCCATTAATTTTAGTGAAGTGCAGGGTGTCCTATTTTTATTTACCCTTACCTAAAATTAGTCATGTGCTTTTTTGTTATTATGTGGTGAGGGTAACGCACTGTTTTATAAATATGTGTCAGGAAATTGTGTTAATTGTGGTGGATGCTCAAGCGCAAGGTGTTGGTGGTTTAGTGCGCAGTGTTAATCTGGGAGAAGGACTGCCTATCATATCCTTTAATGCTGCTTGGAATGCATTTACTTCTGTTTAGACATGCAACTAAGTTGTTCAAAGCACCTGCCTGTGACTCCCGACCTTTGCTTTGATTGCAAGTATTCTACCTTTGTCCTGTAAGGGTTTGGGTCGGTCCCCTAAACTTGAGTTCTAGGAATCTAGTTTTAAAAGTGTCCACAAGTATGTTGCTTACTTATTGCATGTTGTGTTTTTGTGGATCCTTGACCTTGTGCGACACATCAATCTACAGCGGAGTGTAGGCCTACCTGAGCTTCGTCGACTTCGTAGAACCTTCCTCAAATTGGCTGGGCAGTCAAGCCTGTCAGGACCTCCTCCACTATCAGTTACGAAAAGCGCCAAACGAATGTTTGCAGACTATTTGAATCGCGAGTTGTATGCAAATTTGTTGTAGTGCTCACGGCACAACTCTCCTCTAAGGCACAAGAAAGCGTATGCAACTTTTTAGCGACTTTCTAACTGTTGATTTAAATGAAAGTTCTTTAATGTCTTTTCTGATGGTTTTTAGTTGATTGAGATCACTTGGTATACAAATATGTATTTTAACCGTGTTAATAAAAATATTTTTTAATACTTGTTAAATATATTCAGATGAGTTTTTTTACAATTTGTAGGTTGATTTTATTCCCAAAAATATGTTTTAAATTTTATCACAACCAAAAAGAAAAAACCTTTGCATTAGTTGCTTTGCTTGCAAAAATTTAGAAAACAGAAGCCAGTTAATAAGAATTGGTTTGATGATATAATATAGTCTCATTTTAGTGTTAAATTTATAAAAGTCTTGCTGCAACAGTTATATCTAATATTTAGAGATTCAAAAGAACATGGATGTATTGAAATTCTAAATATGTACTGAATGTATAGGATATGGAACCACAGCCAATGGCAAGATTGTGCATATAGCAACAAAGTTGATCAATGGTGGTCAACTTGGTCCTGGTAAGTAACCTTTTGAAATTAGCAAATGCAGAATGTGGTTGTCTCCCACTTTTGGTTGCTAAGGCTTCTTGCAGCTTAATCTTGGTGCTTCTACAGCACGATACTCTAAGGAATTGTATCTCCGGCACTTACGATTAATAAGTAGAATAGGCATTTATTTACTTCTAATGATTGGATTTTGGTGCTTAGGGATTGTGACAAGGGAAGTGGCTACTGCGGCACTTCAAGCTCTTAGCACTGTGCATGCGTGTGGGCTGCTTTATGGGTATGTTGAAGCAAGTAGAGATTGTAAGAGTAATAAGAAGAAAAAGTTTTTTGTTTTACTGAATAAAATATTATTTAATATTATGAAGATTAAAGCATTTAGTAGCATTGAATAATACAAATTATAATGGAAAATCAGTAAAAAGAATAAATTTGCAAAAAATAACTTTTGAATAAGTATTAAAATGAAATTTAAAATGATTAAAGATTATAATCCTATTCAACTACTGGATAATTGTATTGCAAATATTCATTGCATTTGTTGATATTCATTTTATATATTAGATTTTGAATTGATATTGTATCTATGGTTGTTGCCATCACCTCAACGCTTTCAATTTCAATCATATTTTATAATTACCTAAATATATCATGTTGACATTGTTGTATGGCGTGATTTTCTATTTAGGAATATATTGGATATTTACTTGTAGAGAGTATAATTTTAACTTATTGACTAAGTTCAAATAAATAATTTATTCTTATTATACAAGATAAATAAATATAAAAAGATAAAAATATTTTAATAATAAAAACTTTTTATATTTAAGAAGGTTTGTATACAAGCTTTTTATATTTAAGAAGGTTTGTATACAAGGTTTTTTAAAGCATCTAGAAATGTGTCATGGACATAGAATATAGACTTGATATCTACCAAGAAGTTCAAGAATAACTGGTAAGAACTAGATTAATCAAATGAATACAAAAACAATACCAGAGAGGTGAGCTAGAGCTTGAAGAGATGTGTTGTCGAGACTGAAGAACTCTTCAGCCTCGACTCCTATATATAATACTGGCCTATGGTTCTAAGGAAGCGTATCAAGAAGCTTCCCAAGAACTATGAAGCTTCTCGAGCAACTATCCAAGAGCTAGGAAGCTTCTCAAGTAACTTCCTAGAATCTACTAGAATATTCTAAGAATCTTCTAAAGCCTTCTAAGAGAATCTTTAAGAAATCTTTAGAGAATCTTTAGAGAATCTTTAGAGAATTTTTAAAGAATCTTTAAAGAATATTCTAAAAGAATATTCAAGGAATCTTCTGGAAGTTTCTAGAGACTTTTTTCTAAAAGGTTCTAGAAATTTGTCTCTAGAAAGGTCTAAGGACTATGTCCCTAACATCTCCTCCTCCTTTACCTTCGAGGTCTCCGAGAAGCAATGTTATCGTCAGTCAATACCAATGCAAGAAAATGAAGATCTGACGCATAATCTCTGCTATGAACTCCAATTGTTGTTCACGAGGCAAGTGATTCAATGGTCCTTGAAGCCAACGGTAGTGGCCCACGCCTTCAACTTCTGACCAAGCATGAACCTCAGTGTCTTCATTGTGAAATTGTCCTGCAAACACTCCTTCTAGCTGACCATTGTAGGCAGGCTCGACCTCAAATACAATCACCAGCGATCTGTTGCTCGGAATCCTTCGACGTTGTCGTGGTGCAGGCGGTTCTTCATCTCGCGGTCGTCTTCGTGAGCTAGTTGCTTGAGATGACATGACAAGTGTAGTATCTTGGCTATCCATATTCAAAGGCTAAAACAATAAGAACAAACTTGGGCTACTAACAAAGTTCTACGCTATCTTGGAGAGAATGACTACATCAACTATGGATTTTGGTGGTGCTCTCTCCTCTTTTCTATTTTCTAGATGAGCAAGCTTCAGTAAGAAGTTATTGTCGAACCGGCTTGGGTTTCTCAGGATATCGTCGATGAAACTCCTGTACCTTTTGCGGCGCATTCGCGAGATTTTCGGTCGGCTCCCATGTTCGTTCATTAATATCGTAACCGCTCCAATGCACAAAGTATTCTAATTTATCCCGTCTTTGCCGTGAATCCAGGACCTTTTCCACCTCGTATTCTTTGTGGTTCTCTATTTCTATGCTAGGTGGTGGACATTGTACTCTTCCAGGAAAAGACGATTCTCGATAAGGCTCCAACAAAGAAACATGAAAGACAGGATGTACCTTCATAGTAGCTGGTAACTCCAGACGATACGCTACAGGATTGATCTGCTTCTGGATAACAAATGGTCCCAATCTCCGATAGTCCAATTTGTCACATGGCCGCTTGGTCTTAATATTTCGTCGAAGCAGCCAAACTTTGTCTCCAATCGTGAATTTAGGTGCCTGATTCCGAAATTTGTCCGCAGACGCCTTGTAAGATTCTTGGGCAGTTTGCAATTGAAGCTTCAATGTAGTTTGAAGCTGCGAAAGCTCCTTCACCAATCCTTCAGCTGTCGGATTGTTAATCGTTGACGAACTCCATAAGTCAAGCTTCGGATGGTATCCATAATTGAAAAAGAATGGCGTTTGTTGAGTTGACGCATGAAGGGTGTTGTTATATGCGAACTCGGCTAGCGGTAGATATGCGGCCCAATCATCTTGTTGATAGTTGATGGTGCAACGTAAATATTGCTCTAAAACTTGATTCACCCGTTCTGTTTGGCCGTCCGTTTGAGGATGAAATGCCGAAGAAAGCTTGATATCCACCTTCAATATCTCAAAAAGAGATTTCCAAAACTTTGACACAAACTGGGTTTCTCGATCCGATACAATATCATCTGGTAGACCATGATATCGATACACATTATCAAAAAAGAGTCTTGCTGTGTCTTCGCTTGACGATGTCTTCTTGCAAGGGACAAAATGCGCCATCTTTGTAAGCCGGTCTACGACAACAAAAATGCTGTCAAATGAATTCGATGGTGGTAGATCCGTAATAAAGTCCATGGAAACCGAAGACCATGGTCTGCGCGGAATAGGCAATGGCTGTAGAAGTCCATAAGGCCGATGTCGAGGGTTTTTGGATCTTGAACAAATGTCACAAGATACAACAAAATCTTTCACATCCTTCCACATTTGAGGCCACCAGAAATCGCGGGAAATAAGTTCCAAGGTCTTATTGAATCCAAAATGTCCCGCAGCTGGAAAGTCATGACGAGATTGAAGAACTCGGAGTCGTGCTGGCCCTTTTGGGATATACAACCGCTCTTCGAAATATACTAGATCTCCTTCCATCTTGAATTTATCATCACTAGCATGTTGCTTGATATCAAGGGCTAGAGAATCTTCAATGGTTCCGGCTCGTACCTGGTCGAGGAAGTCAGCATCAATTGGTACAATAGCTGCGTTGAGCCGAAATTTCTCTGGCTTCAACAATGTCGTGCACTGTTGATAAAATGCTGCATCTCCAGCCTTTGGCGCGAGATATGATCTCCTTGATAATGCATCGAACAACCCTTGTTGCTTCCCAAGCCGATAAGTAATAACAAAGTCGAACCTGGATAGCGACATACTCCACCGAGCTTGACGCCGATTCAAAACCCGAGCCGACATAAAATACTCCAAATTCTTGTGATCTGTATATACGGTCACTGGATGTGCAGTTCCTTCGAGAAAGTGGCGCCACTCTTGGAAAGAATCTACTATAGCAAGGAGTTCCTTATCATGGATCTCATAGTTGATCTCAGCAGCAGAGAATTTTCGAGAATAGAATGCAACTGGATGGAGCTTCTCATCTACGCCCATCTGTGAAAGTACAGCTCCCAAAGCAAAATCCGAAGCATCTATCTCCAAATAAAAGGCCTTTGTAAAGTCCGGATGTACCAAGATTGGAGCTGTAATAAATACCATCTTCAAATCTTGAAATGCTTTTTCTGCAGTAGGTCCCCATTCGAGCTTGTCCTTGCACGTTAACTGAGTGAGGGGGGCAGCAACTTGAGAATAATTCTTGATGAAGATCCAATAGTAGTTAGCAAATCCAAGAAAACATTGTACGTCCCTAACCGTCTTCGGAACTTCCCAAGACATGATTGCTTCCACCTTCTTTGGATCCATCTTCAAGCCTTCTGTAGTCGCGATGAATCCCAAAAACTCCATCTCAGTTCGGTGAAATAAGCACTTCTCCAATTTGGCATAGAGTCCTTGCTCCCGTAGTTTTTTGAATACCAGACGAACGTGCTTCTCATGTTCTTCCTCGTTCTTAGAAAATATCAAAATATCATTTAGATAGATGACAATAAAATCGTCTAGATGCTCTCGAAAGATGTCATTCATCATGTGTTGAAAGACCGCTGGAGCATTAGTAAGACCAAATGGCATGACATTGTATTCAAAATGGCCATACCTTGTTCGGAAAGCTGTCTTCCATTCATCTCCTTCCTTGATTTGCACAAGGTTATAAGCTCCCCTTAGGTCAATCTTTGTAAAGATCCTTGCACGCCCAAGTTGTTCTAGAAGACCAGAGATCAAAGGCAGTGGGTAGCGATTCTTTTTTGTCACCTTGTTGAGACCTCGATAGTCCACGCACATCCGTAGTGAGCCATCCTTCTTCTTCACAAATAAGATTGGTGCCCCAGCTGGCGACTTCGAATGACGGATGAAGTTCTTGGCTAGATTCTCGTCAATGTACTTCCGCAACTCAGTCAACTCCGCCTGCGACAAATTGTAGATTGGTCCAAAAGGTGGTTGTGCTCCTTCTTGCAATTCAATGGCACAGTCATAGGGTCGATGCTCTGGCAACATATTAGCATTCTTCTTTTCAAAGACATCTTTGAATTCTTCATACTACTTTGGAATAACCAAAGTCGGAGTTGCATCTTCTCGAGTCGGAGTTGCAAAGATGACAAGAGGTGTATTTTGCTTGGCTTCCTTCATGAAAGCCCTTGCACCTATAAACAAGGATTTGTTTCTAGACATTTTCTTGGCAGATTCCACCTTCAAGGAGTTTGTTGGAAATGTCACTTTTCGCAACTTCCAATCTATCAATGGATTATATCTATCAAGCCAAGATAGTCCCAAAATGATAGGACATGAAGGGGTCTTGATAACATTAAACACAATATTGCTCTCATGGTTTTCAAGTTGTACCTTCAATGGTTTAGTTTCATGGATAACATTGCCCGAAGACAATGGTCGTCCGTCTATGACTTCTACATGGACAGGCTTAAGTTTCTTTACAAGAGAAATATTGTGAAGCTTGGCAAACTCTTCATCTATAAAGCAAGCGGATGCACCCGAGTCTAATAAAGCATCGACTTGTAGTTCTTGAATACCTAGATATAAAGGTACCATAAAACAATCTGAAGGTTGAGCTGAGAGAAAGGGA